ACAACTTTTTGCCGCGAAACCGGTACAAGGTTGTTCGTCGCGGACCACACTACCCTCCCGACGCCATATTTTCAAGCTTCATACCTGATCGCGGACCGTGCCTTTAACGATAGCTTCTTCTACTGCAAACCTTCTACAAGGCGGGTTTTCGGAAGGCCCACCTTGATGGGTCAGGTCTTCCAGGACCGGCCTATGTGTTTGATGACGGCTCTGTTGACAGCAACAATAATGGAAAGGGCTTAGATTATAAACTTTATAGACCTTAATGCCAACCCGACCGATGGGAATGGGACAGCTCTAAGAGAACTTACTCGAAACTAGTTTAAACGGAAAAGTAGGCTTTTTTGCGGATATTTTGACAGCTTCTTTTCAAGACTTCAGCACACAACTCAGCGCTCTTACAGTAACCTACCGTAGTAATACACTGAAACGATACTGCAAGATAATTATTGATGAATGCGTGTGATAAGAAACAAAATGCTCTTTCATTGGACAACAACTATAAGAGCGCGGTCGATCGGTGTGGTAACTCATTTTATGCATAATACCAATCGTCGTTCGACATGTTGGTGAGTACTCACTGTTCTGCGGGACGATGGTGCTAGAGCGGTACTACAAGGGACTAGGAATCTAGGACGTAACGGAGCACATCCCGGCCGTGGGCAAGAATGGAGGTATAACGTGTGCAGTGCTCGCAGGAGAACCCACCTCAACTTGCTCAACTTAGCATTGCTGCAGCGCGTCTAAAGGTGTACATCATTCATTATTTCCGGAGTAGTGGCATCACAAGCGTTAGCAGAACATCTCCCAGCTAGCTGATGCAAGAGACAGTCGACACGCTGCTACCTTTGGGTTACGTGGCAACTTGACTTTTCTGCATGGTCTTCTCTGCTTTTGCGAAACCTTGAACCCAGGGCAGCGGCAGCCAAACATCGGAAGCGCAAAAACATGTGGTGAGCTAGACGATGACTTTTGCCCTCTTTCTCATTATGAAGGACTAAAGGGGGGAGGGGGGGGTGAACCACACACCATGTGTCAAAAGTTGGAATTTATGAGAACACCAGCCGGCTTTGCCGGCTGATGCCTGCATGCCTTTCTCTGAGATGAAGAATGGATTTGCTGAGCGGGCTCGGCCCCGCCGCGCTTATCTTTCTGCTCACTGGCTTTTCTTTTGTACAGATAGTCAACAATCTTAGACCAAATATGTTCATACGAGTAGCTCACTTATAGTGCACTACATGATTCTTTTACATAGTGAGTTGTAAACAATCACACATTGCCTCAAAGTGATACCAAAACATGGATTTTATTCGCGACTCTGCTAGCGGTTGATCCTTCCTCTATTCACCTTATCGCTTTCATTGGCGCTTTTATTACCACACTTGTGATGAGTTTCTACTAAACGCACTCTATGCTTCCCTCCCGTACTCTCCCTCACTAATCCCACCCACCCACATTATACCCTCCCCACTCCCACTTGCCCCACCCACTCCCCATCCCGGCCGCTGCACGTGCTCACGTCCACCTGCCACGCGAGCAGCTCGTGCAATGGTTTGGAGTGCACTACATGGTTCTCTTATATAGTGCAGGGTGTTATCACAATCAAAACATTGGATTGATACATCTGCACCAACTGGTTTCGCCACCGGCTAGCGGTCGTACACTCTCCTACACTGACGTGTTTGAACCCGTGAAGCATTTTGCGGACGGACATACATACATACATACATACCGACAAACCGACACACAGAATTAGTGGTTTATAGAATGTAAGGATATGGTCAAGAACGCAATAAGACAAAGCAGCTGAGGAAAACAGAAATTTGACATGATTAGGGAGTGCCAAGTTAATTGTCCGTGGACCGTCACGTTGAGTGCATTGAGTCCTGCAGGAAATTCTACCCACCACTCCGTTAGCACAATATCTTTTGCCGCGCTCGCCGCGCTGCTCGAAAGTGGCCCTTCTCTACTTACCGACTACCGTAATAGGAACTAGTCTGTTTATAGGCAATGTCCTCGGACTCCCAGAAGTACGTCCATCCGTCTAAAGAACAGTAATTATGTTGAGCTTCTGAAATCTAGCCATGTATTCGTTATTTATGTGTGCGATAGAGGGCTAGGAAAAGGCAAAGGCATGGCAAGCATAAGGATCCACGGAGATGACTGTCCAAGTTCTATTTGAACTTGCAGGTTCGTATACCGGAAAACGTTGTGTTCCCGAATCTCATCCAACAAGATAACGATGACGAATTATCTGATATTGTGAGTGAAAAGTTCTGAGTGTTGAGCGGCTGCTTTCCTATTTGTCTAAGGAAAAGGCTCTCAACCTGCGCATTGCGTGGGCATCACTTACGCTGAACCCTATTATCCCAGCTTTGCAGGACAATGAACCACCTCGTCGTGGGATCTTTAGATATGGCAGAAAGATCGCTGACATTATGTTTTCAGAGGTCAGGAATTTTAGCTCGTTGTCGGGTATAGCGCGCCATTAAAATGTCTCATTTTCAGACTGCCCTAAAGATTCACCTATTCACATATTGGTTATTTTGTTTATTCGGTATGATAGAAGAGCAACCTCACAGTGAGTGAATGCAAGCTTACTCCAAAATGCTAACCAGCTACCCTAGGGCGCTATCCAGAGCGTGGCAAGGAACAGACCTCGCACCCGGGAACCAAGATTTTGCGCATTGCTAGAGAAATAGTAGCAAAGAATTCACAAAAGGAGTGCTCTAGCTGCTTTTCCTTGCCATGCACAGTGAGCAGCGATTCGAGCGGCGCAGGGCATATACCGACAGGATCTGTCCAGCAAGAGAGGCGGCCAGGACTCCGTACTGCTTGGGTAACCATAGCAGCACACCGAGAGATACCATAGCATCAAAAGGTACAGCGCCCCGGGTTCTGTGGTTCTTCAGAGGGACTAGGAAGCACAGTTCGATAGGAATCAAAGTCCTGTGTGGGGAAATTAGTACGCGCTTGTACCACTACCGCGTACGAAACCTTCAAGGCATGGGCATTTAGACCCAAAGTTGCCCAAGTAGCGACCTGAGCGCACGTAATTCTGCCACACATGGCTGTTTGCGTTTCTCTCGCTTGTGTACGCCGGGTCGCTCTTGTGTGGTCTATCGTCCAAGATTCCAACAAATCATTTCCTCTCCCTTAAAACAAGGACCGCCTTGTTGTGGGCATTCTCGACAGTTTTCGCGTTTTCTGGACGGTTCCTCTAAATGAATTGGTTCTCCCGCCCCTTCTCTTGTTTTCAACCCCTTTACTCACTGCGCTTCCGACTGTTGATGGCGAAATGCACCCTCAAGAAATAGGAAGCACAGGTCACTTATAGGGGAGAGATAGGCGGCGACAATCGAGCATCGCACCTTCCTTACAGATGCGCCCATCGTTCTAAGACGGTCAAGAACTAGACGTGATTGCGGAAGGCCTGATTCCACCCACACAGTGAACGTGGACTGTGCCTTCAGCCACTAAGAATCACCGCCCGATAACCTCATCTCCTCATCTCCACTGGACTTCTATCTATAGTTTGGGCAGGTACTCAAAGCCACACTGGCCCAGAGAATGACTGCGGGAATCTGATAATGTTTGAGTTAGTGTGCATAGTTCCAAGGCAAAAAGTTATAGTCTAGTTCGCTGCGGGCGAAGGGGCGTGTCAGGCGGAATGAGTTGGCGCGATGCCAAACCTGTTCTTCACCAGTTGTTGAAGCCTGCAAGTGACAAGACTGTATCATATCGCCCGTGTCACCCGTTTTCTACCAATTGTTGTCGCATACCCGCTTCAACAATTGGCAGAGAACGGGTTTGGCGCCGTGGCACACTCATACTGCCTGACACGCCCTCTTCATCCGCAGCGAACTAGAGAATAATGTGTCAACTGCGGATAAAGTTGACTGATGAGTGGGTTAGATTGGATGAAACTAAATTCGATCACATTTTTCCCACGAGTGCTACGTGCACCCCTGCCGCTGCACTGCCTCACCCCGCGTTTACCCAGCCTTCATGTATCGCTAGAGGTTCCATCAGAAATACTGTTATGGTTCTCAAAAGTAGAATGTTTTTCAAGGTTTACAAGTGATCAAAGTAATGTTGGTTGCGATGGCGATCATTTTTGCCCTACTCGCTACTGTAACAAAAGCCGTCTGTCTATTTTATCCATTTCTATTCGTAATTGTAAGTGAAGTATAAACCATTTTCAGTGATTCCTTATAGTGTTTTGATCTTGTTTTCGTTAATGTCACCTATGTTTTCTATTCAAATAGTGAGACTTCTAGATTTTCGAATTCTCAAAGCATGTAATAATCTTCTTTCTCGTTGCACTCAAACTCACCTATCCTGAGAAATATGTGGCAATAATTCATATACAAGGTAGGTTTCACCGCGTTCTTCGTTGGGTAAGTTGGAGGTAGGGTACAGCATTGTTGCGAAACCCATCGGGGCCTTGCTGGCCGGGGGAGGGGTCGTAAACGCAGGGTCGGTGAGCGATAGACAGCACAAAGTGCCACCGCTAAGTCTGATGGGCGGACGGAAGGCTGCAGGGGGCTGGGACGTAAGGAACATACAAAATATTAAAACATGTTGATAAGCAATATGGACAGTTAGCATGAGCTCGTAAATGCGTAGATGACAGAATAATACATCTAAAGCAAATTCGTGCGTATAGACCTTTCCAAACCCTAAACAAACATCTGCTTGCATGGAAAATCACCTAAAATCAGAAGTTACACCTTTCCACCACCTCTGCGTAGAAGCGTAATGCACGGCGCACACTCGGACCAAATCGATCGATGATAACCAAATTATGCTTTGACTCAGTTCAAGGGGATATGAGTTTTGGAGGCCTGCGAATGAGAAGGAGTTTGAGCATCTCAGAATGTCGCCCGTAGGGGATGACCCATCTAAAATATGCCTTGAACTAACTGGTTTTCAGGAAAATTGTAGAGCTTAATGGGAATAGGAAACACTGGGCGTTCTGATGGGGTTACTACATAGATTAGAAAAAGGTTGCGTTTGAAAGAAAATGTTCTGGTCTGAAGCATAAAAACCCGCTCGCGATTTATCACTAACGCGTCCGTAACCCATCCGAAATATTTCACAAACGGGGGAAGATTCAGATTGCGAATAGGTAGAAAACGCAACAGTAGAGACATTGCTTCAACAAGCCGCCTTTCATTTCTCAAAAGCCCCACATCTAAAAAAGCCGGCATGCCCAGAAAAAGCCCCGCAATTTCCACCTGGCCAACAGATCTGCTCCACCGCTAATTTGCCATGGAATCACAACGCAACTGCAAGCGCTTGCGAGTCGTTACGCATCTAATCATTCTCGTCAGAGCAAACAGTTCGAGCAGGAAAGGAGGGGGGTAGCAGGGTTCTTTTCCGAGGGGGTCGTATGGGCACCGCCATTTCACACATCACTGTGTGTACCCTAGTTGGAGATCGGCAATGGCACGCCGTCTATCTCCTACGGGCGCGATCATACACTGAGGAGATTCGGCGATAGGGGAGAACTAGCGCTCCTGCGTTTTGAACGATTCGTGTTGTGCTAGGCGATTGCGCGCCGAGGAAATGGATGGGTATCGATTGACGCCCGCCGCTAACGAGTCGGGAGATCCGTCGACCAGGCGCCGATCGATACCCATCCACCTTCTTGGCGCAGTCCCCAGAACACCGGATCCAGGGCACAGCGTTCGATGGGGATTCCCTATGGGGGGGTCGTATTTGGGCTGGGAAAAATTTATTTTTATAGTTGATTTTTCTCGCTTTGCGGACGTTTTGGAGGGGGGGGGGTCGTTACGTGGTTCACTTCATGAGTTTTATGAATTTTCTGTGTTATAGGTACTATGTACGCCCGTACGATGTACGTCGCATGCCTACTACATATACCCCCGCTCGACAACTTTTTCGCCGAGTATAAACCACAACCACAGTCAGCCATGTCAGCCATCGTACGAGCATGGGGGGGGGTCGTAAAAGCTCGACCAAAATCCCCATCGAATGCTGTGCCCTGACCGGATCCCTTTCTACCCCGCGGACAGCGCCATACCCATACTTTCCTAGCCGCAGAATCGCTCTGATCTCTGAATCCTCAGTCGCCAAAGTATGAAAACGGCCTGACAGGTAACGTTTGGACCGCATGACTAGCTATATCAGCACAAAGTGATTCGTTTCTGTTTTCTAGGCCTCACTAGACTACGGAAGTTAACAAAAGGCAACCGCTCAGAGGATGAGCTTTACTATATATGGTGTGGATTTTGTGTAGTTTATTTTGTACTAGTTGCACTAACCATAGTTCGAAATATAATGGACTATCAATTGAGAGAAGTGAGTTGTAAGGAGTATTCTGAGTACATTTACTTTTAATTACACCAAAAACCGATACCTATTAAGCGCTTAAGGCGTCAGCATCAGAACGCCTATCAACCGCACATCCTGCCGCCCGTCCATCGGCGAAGATTAGTGCTTCCAAGGGATCAAGAAGTTGGAAATTTGAACCACGACGATCCACCACCATACTCGGTTAGCTCCTTTTCTTGGGAAGAGAGTACTCGGTGGCATAGGCTGCGTTTATACTTTGCGGCAGCGTAGCGTAGCGCTTCCAGCGTACGCCAGCGGCAGTGCCGAAGAGAGGATGCATATCGATCTAGCTTCACCAGCGTCACCAGCGGCACGCTGGCGTACGCTAGCGCACGCTGGCGTAGCGAGGGCACGGGAAGCATAGCTATCGATCTAGCTTCACCAGCGTTTCTCGAGCGTTTCTCCAGCGGCACCAGCGTTTTGCTAGCGCTTGCAGCGGCAGGGAGTAGATGTGGCCGTGAGAGACGCGGAATCGACGTGTATTGTAGAGACCATGTGGCCGTCGGAGACGCAGAAGCGATGTGCATTGTAGAGACTATGTGGCCGTCGGAGACGCAGAAGCGATGTGCATTGTAGAGACTATGTGGCCGTCGGAGACGCAGAAGCGATGTGCATTGTAGAGACTAGGGCGAGTGAGAGACGCGCAATCGATGTGTTTTGTACCCTCCAGCTCTCCCATAGTCTCTACTCCCTGCCGCTGCAAACGCTAGCAAAACGCTGGTGAAACGCTGGAGAAACGCTGGCGTACGCTAGCGTACGCCAGCGTGCCGCTGGTGAAGCTAGATCGATATGCATCCTCTCTTCGGCACTGCCGCTGGCGTACGCTGGAAGCGCTACGCTACGCTGCCGCAAAGTATAAACGCAGCCTAAGGTCTACTCGGTGACATAGACCTCACGGCAGCTGCTATGCAAAGCATACATATCGATTCCAGCTCGGAGTCGCTCCGTCCACAGATCGTCGTCGGAGGCGAACTCTTCGAGAGACAACTTCTCTTTTCGCTTTTCCGTCCTCACTTTACTAAAGTCGCAGTCGTATTGCTGCTAATCGAACCTATTGCGCTTCTGTTATTCACTGAGCATGGTTGTACTCCAGTTAGTGTGTTACGGGACTGTTCCAGTCTGCCATAAGACCCGGGAGCATACTCGAAACAGCAAAAGAAGAAACAGATCCTCCTCGATACTCGCAACTTGAACTTCCAGTTGATCGCACAGTAAGGTGAGCCATCTTCAAAGGAACTAACATAACTACTGACGGATTTCAATTTCAGCTCACAATCGTGTCTCAGTGAAAAATCTGCTGAAGAGACTGAGACAGCACCATTCAACAGTACGAGAACTTCTCCACGTAACAAACGAAGTTAAAACAGTATACTTACTGGAATTAAGCAATAAATACTTCAAGAATGACCTGATTCAACGTCGCTGATCCGTTCTCATTATTACTCCTTATGCTCGGGCAGGACTCATTGTCCACACGCGAGGGTAACGGCGGCCGTGACCGGAAAAGCGGCACGGTTCGGACGAAAAGGGGCAGAGGTGCATAGGAAAAGAAAGTCTGCTTTGAACTACATAGCCGTCGCTGGGACACCCCCTTTCCGCTCTGTGATATGGACAATGTGTTGTGACGAGGCGGCAACTAGCTGGTGTATCCCGTTTACTTGACTCGTCATTTTGGTCCACTTCCACTTCCAGGTGGCAAGGTTCTGACCGCTAGTCGCTCACAACTATTGCCACCACTTTGGCGCCACACGAGCCTCCGGAAACCCATCCTAGACTATCGCGCGAGCTCGCACTTCCGCCCGATGCCTGTAAGTAGCAATCTGATTGTCGTAGTAACTTTTAAATTCCTAGGATAAGGGTAAGGGGCGTATTTCCCGTGGAGGGAGCAACCAAAAAGGGTTAGCAAACTGTATTTTGTCTCATGGGTAGCAACGGCAATGTACCATGGATAGCAAACTGTTCCAGTCCAGATGTTCCGAAAAAGGAAGCAATGACATAAGCCTTCCCGCCTTTCGTAGATGTGCTACAAAAACATGGTACCGGGAAGCGGTTTTGGGGAGATCCGTGCCACCTCACGTTGCTTTAGAACCTTACATCGGCAGCTTATTTCCTGTTGCATGGATGTTCACGGTCTTTGAAGTGGACCCACTGAAGTATCGTTATCTTAAAACTGGAGCTTTTCGATGACGCTGCTGCACACACTTCCTGCGAGTTTCGACGACTTAGTCTCATTTACGGAAAGCCCGATAGTCTTGATAAGTGCTAGGGCGAGCTAATTACAGATTTTTCTCCTCAGCTCTTTCTCGTCGTTCTTCTCGAACCACTCCCTGCTTTTTCCTAGCTTTCTGGCTTACTTCTAAACTAGAGCCCCTACAGTGAAATAGGAAGTGGTTCTGAGAATATTCGGCCGACACTCAATCTACACTGGTGGGGCAGGCGGTGCAGTGTGAGGAAACTACTCAGTCTCGGTGGGTGATGGAGTTCTTCAAAGTTAAAAAAAGGGGCGCTGTCCGACTTAGGAAGGGATCATTAACATTTCGCTAGTTTTTTTGCGTGCTTCCTGGTTCAGTCCCACGTCATTCAATCCCACGTCACATCATGATGAAACCTGTCGATCATTGTCTGTTGTAAACGAATGTCTTTTTGCTTAGCTATTCAGGGATTCACAGGAGTTTACGTAGGACATAGGCAGCGACTGATGGGATTTAGCAAAATGCCCCCACCAAGCCGAACTGCAGCGGATGAACGGTTTACAAGAAGACCTCGTCCCCACGTTCGAAATCCTTGAGTTGATGCCCTCAACAAGGATCAATAGCAGATTCGTTTCGAGACAGAGCAAAACACATTGTCTCTTAAATATTTAATGTTTGTGCTGCGGACATCTACAATGTTATGACGAATATACGAATACATACAAGCAACACGTTAGAGATCACTATTTCTTTA